CCTGCTGAGCATGTGAACAGGTGAGATACTGCTGCTGCAGTTCCTTTTGGATGCTTGCAGCAAAGCAAAGAATATAAACAAAATCTCTGTAGTCCCAACTAGAACCATGAAGTTGATCTTTAGATGATTATTGCTGAAATTTTGCAATGTGAAGTTTCAGAGGTGTTTGCTTAAGCATCTGGTAGTTATCCAAACACAGAGAAATCCTAATTCAAGAGAGCCTGTCTAGCCCTCTGAGCAGCTACTCCACTTCCAAATGTCTAGTTTGATGGCTTCTTACAAGTGCCATAGTTATAGGGGAGCAAAACCCGACACCACCGGTCAGTACCTGTATGTTATATGATTCTTCTCCCATTTTGGCTTTCTTGGAAAGAAGTTGTAATTGGCTACATCAGGGTTACCACAGCGAGGTTTCTTCATTGTCTCAATAGTATTTTGATCCAAATCTCCTGTTTCAGGCAGCCCAAAAAATTTCTGCATTTTCTTCAAAGTATCTTTCAGGACAAATAAATTGCAATTGTCTTTTGGGCACCCATAGTATTTATTCAGGTATTGCTTAGGGAAAAAAGAACAGAACAAAGACTTTAAAAATCATAAAAGAAATAATTAATTGCTGCAAATAAATACTGTAATTCCATGTTAGCTTTCCATCTATAACTTGCAATTCTTCTTTTCAAAATTACTATTATTAGTAACTGAGGGACCAGGAGAATCTCCTTAATTGACAGAAACCAACCTTGATCACACAACATTGCTAATTAAGCAATCATTTCCACTATTAACGATCAGCTTTACTTAATGAATTGCTTTATTAATAAGTAGAGCATAGAGCTTTAATGTAGAACTACAAAGTAAAAATGTATTTATCTTTTTGGGTTTCTTTATGATGTATAAATCTGCTTACAGTTTTAGATTTTGTGTATTTTTTTTTGTGTATTTTTTGTATTTTTGTATATATTCTTGGGAGGCTCTGGAATATTGAGAAACTTGTCAAGGTATCAAAACAACCACACAAATGAGATCACATGAATTGCAAAGAAAAAAACCCACATTGTTTAGTCAAACCGCACACCAGTATTTGAATCTTGTATGTGTTTGCTTTTGAGTCAAACACTGCAAAGACCTGTGGAAGAAGGTTGTTGGTAGTGACTCAGCTGCCTGGACACTGCTGCCAATCAATACCTGCATACTTAAAACTCAATCAAACACTCCAGCAGATCATGGCCAAGCTGATCTTTGTGATACAGCCATGGTGCTGATCACAAAATTCTCTCTCCTCAGAAACAGTGGTCATAAAGGATCAAACAGGCAGCACAAATCCCATTACTTTAGTGTCTTATCTAAAATAATACCCACCCAAGTCTCCTTCACTTTCTGTTTTGATCAGTATGGCCTAATCAGCAGGTGTAGTGCACTAAAAAAAGGAACTCTGTCTTTCTGTCTGCTGCTGCTTCTAATCCTGGAGGAACAATGGGTTAGTCTGTTCCCTGGCAATTCTTCCAGATAAGCAGCCATGTCTTTCAGATGTGTGTTGATAAGTTGTGTATTTATGTTAAATTGAACTGTAGATAAGCAGCTCTGGTCCTGGGTATGCATACATGGTCCCCACCTTTTGTGCAATACATGTGAGATCACATGAACAACTTAGTACATTGTTCTTTTTACCTTAAGTTCAGTGTTGGTGAGCAGAATAACTGTGAACTTCTTGGGGTAGAGACCAACCCAGAGAAAATGCCTGTCAGTCTCTAGCATGTGGTGAATCTCAGAATTATAGAATGGTTTGGGTTGGAAAGGACCTTAAGGTCATCTAGTTCCACTCCCCCTGTCATGAGCAGGGATGCCTCAAATTAGACCATGTCACCCAAGCCTCCATCCAACCTGGCCTTGAGCACTGCCAGGGATGGAGCATTTACCACTGGTTGGGGCATCCTGTTCAATTGCCTTGCCACCCTCACAGTAAAGAACTTCTTCCTTATATCTAACCTGAACTTCCCCTGTTTAAATTTAAACCCATCATCCTTCTGCTGTTGCTACAGTCCCTGATGAAGAGTCCCTCTCTAGCATATCTTCAGCAACTGTATAAAATCCTTTATCAAGTCTGTTACTAACTGGAGACTAGCAAGCATGGCCATACAATAGGCTGCTGGCTAGCAAGAGATTCAGTGTTTGGATCTAGACTGAATCTGAGAAAACCTGTAGCTCAAGCTGTAGCTCGGAGCAGCACAGGTAGGCTCAGTCACACTGCTTAGGCTACATGCAGCTTTAGAATATTGAATTTATCTCCTCAGTGAGTAGATAAATGGATTATGATGATGATGTTAGTTTTGGTACTTCTATAATGATAATAACATATCATTACCTAATTATTTTTATTCACAGATTCTAAACAGCTTGACTAAACTATCTGGAGTTGTAGGGTTTATCCAGTAAAGTGGATCTTATGTTTCTCTTGCTCGCAGATTTCAGGAACTCCAAGCTCAAATGCGTTTGCAATATTTTTATGCCTAGGTCTGAAAAAAGCTACAGCTATGTCAAATGGCGGGTGATCCCAAATCGATGCTTAGCATGGCACAGAGCTGAGAGATGCCCTTGCCAATGGTGTTGTTAGACAGGAAGGCTGCAAGTTACTGATCTTTTCAGTAAACTGGTCTGATGCAGAGGCAAAAGCATCCTTTTGGTATTGTATCCAAAATATTAACTACAAATTCAAGGTAAGAAAGCATCCTAAATAAGGTAAAGGTATATTTGCCAAAAATATATCAGAAATATCAGGGAGAATTATTTCTGAGGGTTATAAGAAGCCTGATAAAATGACTGCACAAAGTTCTTGTGCCAGGAAGTATTCCTGAGGGAAACCTTACTTTATGTATCTAATTAATTGACTGAAGTCACCAAGGAGACCGGGGAGAAGACCACTATGCCAGCCAAATATAGCAAAGGACATTTGATGACTGCAGTTGGTCAAGCCTGGATTTCACCATCCTTTTCATTAAGTCCTGTCATACCTCATCTGCCCTGCATAGGAAATGGTTCAGAGCTTACTCAGAAGGACCTAATCAAGATGTTACACTGTTTCCTTCAGAGAGTCTTCCATCCATCTACTGACAAAGCACAGGCTGTGCCTAATTTTTATGATTTTTGTAACTTCAGATGTGGCATTTCTGCAGTGGGGACTGGCACTGGCGAGTAACAGAAACAGAAAGGTTTCACCTTTGCTACCAATAAGCTTCTGTCTACTGTGTTAATGGGGCCTGGTGGAAATCATGTGAAATGCATTAAGAACATAATCAAAAAAGTCAGTCTGGAGGACCTGTTCTTACTGCAATTTTTATTGTAATGTAGTTTGATATATAAAGCTTCTATGTGCATCTCCCAGTGAGCTACCATGATATAATATAGGCTATACATCAGAACTGAAGTTTAGTGAAAAAGCATGATGCTGCTCTTGCCATTTTAGGTTTGGGAGTAAGATACACAACCAAAAATATAAAATGAGGCATGGTAAAGAATCTTACTTGCTAGGATTCTAAATAAAAGCTAACCCCTCTCAGTTTTTCCTAAAATGGACTTTTTACTGAAAATGAGAAATGAACATAACCAGCTGTACTATGAGAAGAGAATCCTGAAGAAAATGTAGTGTCTGTGTAAACCACATCTTGGCCTAGGCTGCACAATTCAGTTTCCCCAGAGTCAGCAGGGAGCTGTGGTGACCTGGAATTTTGATCCAACCCATTAATGAAACAAGGTCCAGCTGCAACATAGCAGTTTGTGTTCTGATGCTGAGTGTTGGGGCTGTTTGATGGAGAGTGTGAGGAGAAAGGCAGCCAGTTAGCATTACCCTAGAATACTACAAAGAAGACAAAGAAGAGCTGGAGTGTTAAACCAGCTTGTAATTTTTGTTTAAGTACACATAATAAATAGGTTGCTCAGAAGAAAAGGAAATGAGAGGAGATGTTAATTGCTGTTACTGAATAAAAGCCTGACCATATCTAAGAAAATAGATTATTTAAGAGTGGTTAAACTACTCTTAGAAATATGGGACCCTGCTTTCCTCTCCCACATGCACTGGCCCCCCCACCCTCTGGCTGCTGTGCTCTGAAGGCAAAACCTTGGGTGAATTTGTTTTGTTAAAGTCAGAGGAGTTCCATTTTGGGGTCAGTTTGTCTGTGTTTTTCGAACCTTTCCCCCATAGCTCCCATCTGGATATTCTTTCTCTATCCTCCCCCAGACCTTCTTTAACCGGGAAGCTTTCCCAAGATGCACACCAGTTTCTAAAGGAAAGTGATCAATTTTCAAACCTCTATGTCCTAAAATAAGAATAGTTTATCTCAATCTTCCTTAAAACAGACTTACTGCTGAAGAAGAGAAATGTCTATAATTTACATGCTAAAATAAGGATAATCCATCTCAATCTCCCTTTAAATGGAATTCTCCATAATGTCATTTTTGTGAAGGTCCACAGGGCTAAACTAAGTTTAGAATAAAATGCTGTAGAATTATAGCTGTAATTTGCTAATGTCACAGAAATACAAACTATTTTTTTTGTTCCAGATTGAATTTGGAATAAAATATTTCTTTAAGCCTCTGATGTGATTTTTTTTTCATTTTTTTTTTTTTTTTTTGTCAAAGTCAGAACTAGTTGCAACAGCTCCTGAGCCTCCAGCCAAACCTTTGAGTGCAATTGTCCCTTAAAGCTATGTTTGTGCAGCGCATGGTAAACAATCTGGAAAACAAACTGCTGAGAGCTGCAATGCATGCATTAAGTGAGTCTCCACAGCCCTCACTTCTACTTGACTTAAGTAAAATATTAGATGGCTTTTAAATCCCCTTTTCCCCTCTTGCTATTTCAATCTTCCAATTATAATCATGGTGATTTAATGAAATAATTTTTATGTTCAGTCTTAAGGAACAAGAAGAAAAAAAATACTTTCTTCACAGACTTTAAGAAATTTAAGAGAGGAAACATTACTTGGCACTAGTTTTAACTTTTGAAAGCTGATACCTTTGCTAGCTAGCTAGCACTTCCAGAGACTCTGGGGAGAGAACACTAAAGTCATTCCTTCGCCTCAGCTGAAACAAGAAAGAAACATCTGCTTATGAAACAACAATAGAAATCTGAAGCAAAGATGAAACCAACACTTACCACTGCTAGTTCTTTGTCTGTTTTGGGAGTGCTGTCTCCAGGAAACTTAATAATTGGTGATGGTGCAGCTAAAGTTTTGTTAAAAAGATACACTTGGATTAATAGTACTTTAAAAACGAAGCCATAGACACTGTGAGTCTTCATTCTGCCTAAACTTGTGCTCTTCTCTTTGGAAAAAGCTTTTCCCCGCCTGCCTGTCCCTCCTTTAGCTGCACAGTGCACCAGTTGCTTATCTGCACATCTTAACTCTCTGCACAGTTTTCTCTTTTGCTTGCTCTAGCAATTCCTTTGTATGTTTAAAACATCCAGATGCGCAGTCTCAAGCTACCACAAGAGGAAGTCTGAAAACTAGTGGAAACATGAGAAAAGGGCAGTTACCAGATGTGATCGCTGTGATTTTAAGGTAGCAACAGGCAGATACTTATTACGCCTGAAAAAGGACACATTTTCTCCTCATTTGCATATGTGAAAGTGTTTAATTATGCCAGGGAGCAGAAAAAGGCAAACTGACTTAATATTGAAGGTGAAGTGCCCGACATATATTTAAAATTAAATAAATAAATTCATAAACATTCTTTTACTGGGTAAGTATTTTTATTATTTTTTTAGCCTATTTTTGTGCCACAGACAAAATAATCTGCTTTAAACATATGTGGTTGCACTCCTTTGCATTTCCTTACAGTAAACATTTTGATGAGAGATTCTGAGGCAGAGTCTGCGCCCAGGGAGGCTTCTTGTCCTGCTGCTGCTCAGGCTGCACAAACTGTAGGTCTCTGTACACAGGGCTCACCAGTGTTTGGTGCCAGCATCCTCCCTCCCTCTCTGCTCTGTGCAGACTCTGAATAAGATTCTGTGGCTTGTTTGGGTTTAGAACCAGCTTGAGGCTTTGCCACCAGCAGGCACCATGTATCACCTTGATACATGGTGAGAGATAGAGGATAAGAGATAATCGGGCAGATCCAGCAACAGAAATTATCCTCAGTGATCGAAGTCAGGGGAATTGTACAAAAATCAGGGTTTCCTCATGCTGGGATTTGGTCTGCTGGTGCAGCTGCCTTAGTCTGAAATTTGGTATAAATACAGCCATTGTCATGGACAGTCTTTTATTGTGTCATTTATAATATTGCCAGCTTTGAGATGTTATTGCAAGTGGAATATTTTTGTAGCTGGATACCCCTAATCTAGGCACTTGGCTCATGACTTTTTAAGACAGGAGGCTGGCAATTCTGCATGAATGCAAACTGTGTTCTGGCCAGCCAAGTGTCTACAGTTTCTAATAAGCCTGAGTCCTGCCATCCCTGTTTCTCTGAGCTGTATGTCAGTGTAAAGGTTGTCATAGTCTTTCACTGAATGTTAAATGAAAGTTTTTCAGATACGACTCTTGTGGCAATGAATAGGAAATACTTTGCTGGTGTTTGGTATTCATATTATTTTGACATTTAATTGTAAATAGTGAATATTGACAGCTTTTTGATTTATTCTAGTATCAAGCTATTTCACTAACTGCACCCTACCATCCATGAACTGACTAGTCTCATATAAAGGCAAGGATTTCAAAGGGTGGGCTGAGAGGTTCAGGGAGGAAGCATTAGCAGGAGGTTTTGCTGCCCATACAGTTCCACTGGAAACCCGGCATGGCAGCTTTGTGCGTGGCTGCTGGGTGAATCAGCCATGGGAAGCAACACTTAATGCTTAACAGAGAAAGAGGAATTACAGGGACTTCGTACATGAATGGAGCTTTCTTTATAAGCTTTGTATTCATACCCTCTTATCCTTTCTTGCGTGATTCCAATGGCACTTAAGTTACAGTGAACAACTTTCCCCTATTGGTTTGGCTTTGAAATGACATATTTTTTAGCTTCTCCCCATCAGCAAAAATCCACAGTTATTTCTAAGAGTTGCCTTAATAAACAGCAGTTCTGAAAACGTGATCGATATTTTTCGCAGCCCTGCACTTGATTGTGAGGAGTGACTCTCCTACTTTGTTTGTGATGGCAGCTCATGTTTGTGTCCAGCCGTGTGAAACTGTAAGAGAACAAAGGCTGAGAAAGCCTACACTAGATGTGCCAAGTTACTCTTAGCTTCTCCTTAATTAAGCAAGTGAAAATATTATGTTCTGTCGCAATATGCTGCAATTATCTCTCTGCTCTGCATTAGGTCAAGAGCTGCTGTAAATCTTAAAGCATAAGAACCATGTCATTTTCATAAGAATTTAAATCTAATTTATGATGGCTTAGTAGCTTTCATTTAGCAGGGTACTGCAGTGAAACCATTTAAAGCCAAATGTGTCCTGGCACATTCCTGTTGCACTCATAAGCTTCACTGAAATCTAATGAATGCTCAGTTCTCAGTGTGTCCTAGTGAATGTTGAAATGGATGAGGGAAATTTTGGACTCTGAGGTCTGGGCAGTTTGAAAATCCCCTATATTTTTTCTCATATCTTTTCTGGCAGTTAAGTGTAGGTTGAGGTCACCTTCTAAATACATTTCCTCAAAGAAAACAGCAAAGCAACAGAAATCATACAGACCTGCAGTAGGGCATTCTTTCTCACCTTTTATTTCAGTTTTGATGGTAAACTTCAGCTAGTGAGCACTTAACCAAATTACGTTCAATTAGAAAACTTAATACATAGTGGAATATTGGATTTATGGGTTCTGGCTGAACCAGTCTATTGAGTTTCTGACCATTCAGTGGAAGGTGTTCTCTTGCATTAGCACGAGAGATCAGCAGCTGTTTATCAGATCCTGGCTGAGGTCTCCTCTTTCAGATAAACCAAGCAAAATAAACACTGGTGATACTTTGTGAGAGTGGAAGTCCTATTGTATTACAACTAACTATACTATCGTATTACTGTTTTCTGTTCTCAGACTAGATAAGCTTAAAATCAGGGAGACTGAAACATTTGAACCGATGTGTTTTGACATTGATGGTTTAACTGCTATTAATGTTTAGTGCATAAACATTCCTTGACATTCCATACTTTGAAGAGACAATCTCTAAATTAGTTACTGACTTCTGAATAAATTCCTGGAAGTTAAAAATTAAGGAAAGATGCAATACAAAACAAAGAGAAAGAGAAAGAAACCCCTCTGGGAAGAGAACAGAAGACCATCTACTGACTCTATGGAAGAGCTGAAACTTTAACCTAGTTCTCCCTTCTCTTACCTTAATACTCACTTTATAAGATATTTTGTCTCTGTACACAGATGCTGCTTCTGGATTAGCTACAGGAAATTCACACAGTTATAACTGCAGTGATAGCCATTTTGCATTTGTGGAAAATATTCAATTCAATGTGGTGTGTAACTTTTATTTTAGGTAAGACATTTATTTGATATATGCATTCATTTATTTCTCCTGAGTCATAAAAAGCTCCTCTCTAGTTACTGCATGTGTTTCAGGTTAGAGGCACTCCATAGTGAAAACTTTAAACCATCTACTTTGAATAAGATGCCAGATTTGCTTTTTAAATGCCTACTTTCATGCATTAATAAGAACTGTATGGCAGAAACCACACAGTCTGCAATGGTAAATGCCTCTTTTAAGGATATACTTCAGTAATTACAGTAAACAGGGAATCATGATGTCTTTTGAGCTGTAAGCTATGTATCTCAGTAGATCTGACTTGATAAGAGACACATTCATGTGTATTAACATGCTGTTTTTACCAAAGACTTTTCTGTTTCAGAAAATTATTTTTGAAATTATTCAGGAGCACTCAGCAGTTCAGGATTAGACTTCAGATGGTGCCCTAGGTAACGTGCTGAATGAGTAGTCATCCCTCCAGAAATGCACTGTAGCAATGCCTACTATCACTAATTTCAGACTTTTATCA